TGAGTTATTTGGGTGTCGACTAATTTAATAACATAGATCAATCAACAGATATGACCAATTGTACATACTTTCAGTTGATGTAGTGACAATAAAAAGAAACATAACACTTATGATAAAGGAATACTTAGTGACCAGAATACACTCATATCTAAATACAGAATTTTGATAGTTTCAAATAACTGATGATATCATATAGTTACCATGTTTTTATTTACTACCTGGAGATGTAACTGATATTAACCAGTAAAAGAAATCTAAATTGGTGAATTATGAAAATAATTTTTCTTAAATAAATAATTAATAATCTATTGTAAAAACCGCTTCTTTCTTTCATTATTTAAATAAACTATGAGATGATTTTAAACTAATCAGATATTGATCTTAATATCATATGACGTTCATTATCCGATCATTTCTTTAATCAAAAAAGATCAAATAATACTGGGAATATATTAAAGATATAGAAATGCAAATGGCCTCTCAATGTTTATTTGCAAAATGATACAGTTCTACTAGCATAGAAACAAACAAATTACTGATATCAAAACACCAACTGCCACTTTGTTTATAAATCTCATTGATATTTACTTAAAGCCATATCAACTAAATAATAAATGTAGGTAAATGAATTTAAATCATTTTGATTAAATTCATATAATGATTTTAAAAATCTCAAACAATTTAAATATCAATAGTTGAGATCATGAGTCAATTGAATCTAGACAACCATGGAAAACCTGGAATAACTGGACGGCCGTTTCATCCTATTGTAGAACCCCTCAGTAATGTGCAATGCAATTGTTTAAATGTTAAGAATACAAACGTACCACTTTCATCTTTTCTTCTAAGTTACCTTTTAAGACATTCACTTTATAAAAATATATTATTAATAACTGACAAAATCTATAAGACAAAAAAATTCTTTCAATTTTTCTCTCTCAAGTGATTTGTACTTGATAGTAATAAGAAAAAATAATAATGTTGATAATTGTTTAACTATTTCACTTATCCGTTTTTTCCCTCTCTTTCTCTCTAATCGAAAATAATTGCTTTAAACTAGTAGTATGTTAAAATGCGCTTTTTTTTAAAGAAAAAGTATTCTGATATTCTAATGTTCAATTTATTGTTTCATTTTAAATGATCAATTTATTGAAGAATATTAATTATTTAGAAGAAAAGAGAGTAATAGTAGGATAGCAGGTTATTTTTTGGGAGGTTTCATGTTTATAATTTATGCTGATAGTTAATGAAATGAAAGCAGGTAAAGAATTTCCCTAGAATGCAATAAATGTGAAACATAAGTCAAATTTGGTGAAATACACTGTACAACACAAAAAGCTGTATTTAATTCGTGTGAATTAAAACATATAGTCAGGTTTAAATCATTTGTAATTGTTACCCTTGATAATTCATCTTAGTGTTTGTGACGAAATTTCATCATCATTTAAATGATGTGATCATTTCCATTAATGCAGGAGAACTCATCATATTCATTTAGAATGTATTTATTTTCAATTGTAAAAGTAAAATGTTTGTACAAGTTGTATATTGTATCTGAAGTAACCACTTTTTAAGATCATTCTATTATCTTGATAGCAATTTCGTTCGTAAATTCTATTTTTAGAAGAAAACCCGGGTTTTCGAAACTAATTTTATGTTTGACTTTGTTTACAGTCATTTCATGAAGTAGCAATTTCGAAAGAAATATTGAAAGTAATTAACAAAAATACACTAAGCTAAGTGCTATATCAAATTCACAGTCCGGTTATGAATTTTATAAAGGTGCAACATGTTACCGTTGATTATTTATCAAATAATTAATAATTATTACCGTTTCCTTATGCTATATTTACATAAAGGTGTAAATCTATACCACTTTTACATCAGGGAAATCTTAACTCATTTACATACTGAAATACTAAATCTTATAAAATGACATTTTTTATATTTTAAGGCGTTATCCATTCAAATAGAAAAATATAAAGGAACATTTCACAGTAGATAAGCTCAGTGAGTTAATCAGTCAAGATTGAAGATATAAATTGAAAAGTTAACCTTCTCACTTAATGAATTAATAATCACATGTACCAAATGGTTACAGGAAGATATAATATATTTTCCTGCTATTTTAAGATAAAGACAATACATTTTTTTAAAGTGACGGAGTATATTAATCAACGAATAATTTTCGACTTTTACTAAGTAATCCTTCTAAGACACCGAATCATAACTATTACGGAGTCTATAGTTCCGTTGTATTTCGTATTTATAATAAGAGTGAACAGTGGAAATTGTTCCGCTAGTTCAATTTTGATCATAATTCCCCTGCAAAATTTACGTACATCTCACTGCGTTAAAAATGCAGCGCCAAACAAACTCCAAAATCTATGATTAAGAGCAACCTGCCAGTGAGAATCGATAGAAAAATGTTAATCCATTGTCGCCTTTTACCGGCTTTGAAATTTTTGATGGGAAATTCCTAAATGAAGTTTACTTTGGTAGATATTTACGGCAATTCATCATTTCGAAAAAGATAGACCAATATCAATAGTGTTCTGGGTCTATGTATAATACATTTTGATGAATATTTCAAGGCTGTGGAAATGAATTTTATTTGTTGAAACATAAAGTATTTGAATAATAGATTTCAGTAAAATGAATTTCTTCCACACTTCTAGATATCCCTACAATATTGCTCGTATCCTTAGCATAGAATATAAACATTAATTTTAGAAAAAGACAGGTTATTATAAGTTCAGATGGGATGGATATTTTTAGCGATCAGCGTCTAAAACTACATGATAAATATCAAGGTGACAATCTGAAGAATGAATAACTGAATTTATTTTTCACGAGTATGTTTATTTAAATGTTAGTTTTCATATATGTAAAAATAGTCGTACAGTAATAGTTTTTCGGTCTAAATCTCTTCATAAATCACTTACAAATGTTGGACACCGATTACAAATCTTTAGAAATTCCTCCACCTTTCAAAGAGCAAATTATATGCTTCATTAGTAATGATTTTTATATATCTCGATACATGATAATTTTTATTGAATTTTGTAATTGTTTTCAGATTTCAATCGCTGAAAAATTCCCATTATATTAAAACACAATTGTATGAACGAAGAATATTCTTTTCAATAATTTCTCATCAGGTTCTACAATTATAAATCCCAATTAATAATCCATAAAATTGGCCAGATTTAAGGCAGAGTACATCATTTGGAAATTGTAATATGTAAATTAAGAATTGTTATTTGTTATATAAAATCAAATCAGACTGTTAATGTTGGAGCTAGCTGACTAATATGAAGTGTTAACTTGAATCCGTTTATAAGTGAAATGAAATTGTGCGATAAATAATCAGAATAAATATAGTCAACATGGGGTGAGAGAAAAAAAATTTTGGGATAAAAATCGGAAATTACGTAATATGTGGAATAATATGAATTAGGTCAGATATAGTAGATTTAGGGGTGGATATTGAATAAATTCCTCAAAACGGTTATCAATTGTAATAATAATAATAACAATAATAATAATAACAATGATAATCACAGTCGTGAAGATAATTATAATAATAACAACAATAATAACGATAATAATTATAATAAGTTTGGGACATAAAATGATGATTAATCAAATTACGTCACCATATTATAAAATTGATTATTAACTAGTTGGCCAGGGTAAAAGGAGTGGCTGAACATACTTCTTTTGGATGCAAAGCTCTGGCTTTTTGATCCGAATAGCAATTGCTTCAGCCGTCTGTAGGATTCGCAGTCTGACGAAATTAGGTAGACTGCTGTTAACACGATAGATCATTGCAAAAGATTGCTCCATGTTCGCTGTATGTCCTGTCTGAACTAGATGGTCTAAGATGGAGCTGTTAACCGTCTTGACTATACCTTTGCTCACGAGCCCGAATGTACAAATTCCTAGAACATCTGCCAATATAACTTGCTCCACAGGAGCAGTTGAATTGATAGATACAGAAGGAAGTGCCTAGTCTAGGTAATTTATCTTTCAACCTCGGAGTGATTATTGGTCGTGTGGAAAACATTAGTTGTAGTTTACCCGCATTAAAAGTCCGTTGAATTGATCTGCTTAACTTCAGTCTTAGCATTTCGCCTGGTGCATCGCCTCTGAATTGTAAGCGTATATACAGAAGCTTTTTATTTACAGTTGGGTATTCTCTATTCTGTTTTTTACTGGAGATGTTTTTACTTATAAATTTCTCGGGATATCCATTTTCCTTCAGGGTTATGTATAACGTCTTTGTTTCATCTTCAATCGTATCCGCAGAGCATATAATCTTAATTCTATGATGTAGTGTCTTAATAAGGTTCCTTTAGTATAGTAGAGGAACAAAGCTAAGAAAGTTTGTATATTGACCCGTCCAGGTAATTTTCCTGTTTATGTTTCTTTTTAGAGACCCGTCCTTTCTCCTTGTAAGTAGAACATCTAGAAAGGACGGGTCTCTAAAAAGAAACATAAACAGGAAAATTACCTGGACGGGTCAATATACAAACTTTCTTAGCTTTGTTCCTCTACTATACTAAAGGAACCTTATTAAGACACTACATCATAGAATTAAGATTATATGCTCTGCGGATACGATTGAAGATGAAACAAAGACGTTATACATCCTCTGTAATTGAATAGAAATTTCTTTATTCGATTCGCTCTTTATTTATCAAATCTCAAAATGGGAATTTTCACTATCGTTAAAAATAAAACAATGATTATAATTGTTAATACACACAACTTGATATAATCATGTTTGAACATAACCAATGAAACTGTAGTTTTATTTTAACCAATCATATATTACTCTGATATTATATATTCTTCTCATTCTTTTTTTAAAAATTTAAAAGTATTATTTCGTTTTAAAACACCCTAGAAAGTTTCATTTAATGTCAAATTGATAATTAAAACAAAACAAAAACAAAACAATTTTAAATGTTTCTAATTTCTACATTATACTTTAAATGTACAAGAAATGTTTAATTGGAATAATTATTATGCAATCATTGATTTCTACTTATGCTCAGTTTCAAGATCATGTAATACTTTGGGATGCTAATAACTGGAGGTAAAAGTTATAACACGTTGTTTTTTTTATTTGAATTAGGAATTCAATATTTCAATTTTATGAAGCTATTTATATGAGTTAAATGTAAAACCCATTATAAATAAATAATATATTTGTAATATCCCAATGAGTAGAAAATTAGATTTTCTGACGTTTCGTGGCTTAGTGTAAGTCACTTCTTCAGAGAATAAATAACCAAATTAAAATTAATCCAAGTTTAAATAGTACAACAGAGCGATACAAGAATAATATTTGATTAATCAAAAAGCAGGTATGAACAAGTTGATGTCATGTCATTTTTGTCAAGGTGATTCATAAGTGATATGTATGTGAATTTGCATGTGTATGTATGTGTGCATTGTTTAAGAATGAAAAATTGTGTGACCTTTATGGTAAGATGGAATAGAGTTTAATTTTGTAATATGATAGTGTGAATTTGTAAATATGATCAGACTGAATGGTTAGGATAAATGGTCCAAGTTGGATGTATGGTAAGGCCTTCCTTTCTGTTGAGAGAAGTAGGATTAAGCATTATATGGAACGCCTCAGCTATCCTCCTTTCTTTGTAGTTGGAAAAGCCTTTTTGCAATATTTTGATATTTTTAAAATCGATTAGTTTAAAACTCAATTCAAATTTGTATAACTTTAGTTTGATATGTATCATACTGTATTATAAATTATATTTTAATTACAAGGTTGTTTTATTAAGATTACTTTACGTTATTTTATTGTCTCCAAGTTAAATTATTACAAAAAATGATAGAAAGTAGCAAACAAAAACTTCTTGAACTTGTCTCAACCAACACGTTTACAAAAAGATATAATATTTTCAATTCAACAAATGCAATTAAATTTCAATGGTTGAGGTCATGAGTCAGTTGAAGCTAGATCACCACGGAATACCCGGAAGCACTGGATGACCGTTTCATCTTAGTATGGGACTTCTCAGCAGTGCGCATCCATCATTCCACCTCGCGAGATTCGAACCCAGGACCTATCAGTTTCGCGCGCCAGCGCTTAACCATTAGACCACTGAGCTGGGCGGCATCCAACGGTGTTACTGTCTAAGTTATACTAATCCACGAAATTAGGCGGCACATCCAAAGTCGTCTTCAGTGAGTTTCTATCTCACAACAGACCTGGTTGGACTCCTCTGATCGCTGCTTCTCACTAGAACTCCAGGAAATACCTCTTGAAATGACTCATGATCTCAATCCTTGAAATTACCAGAATATCCACAAAACCCATTTTGAGATGTAACTAATGTTTAAAATTACTTTCTCACGAGTAATAAAGCCTATGGATAGCTATTAAACTGGGAATATATATCTAAAATTTAGGTGAAAAACATCATTAAATAGTATTTAAAACATTTTATTTAACCATAAACTTGTTACTCTGTGTTTATAAACCCATTGTTAAAACATATAGAATCACACTACATAAAAACGTTTAGTAATATAACTATATTCAGACATTTACTCGACTTCATACAGTTAACAAAATTAATTTGACTATTAAAAACTGTCATTTTGAAAGCTTAGACGATTAACGATTAATAATTTATGGTTTGAATAAATGACCTAAAATAATTAGTTATCGTTGACCCAAACTTGTTTCTAGTGTGTTTTTTGAGGGTTTTTTTCAGTAAACAAATACAATCTGATTCTATAAGACATAAATGAATAGTTCATTTGTTTTTTGTAAAATTTTATGTTTCTAAAATGTATATCACAATACCGCCTGATGATAGTTCTACTTTAATTCTATCACCGAAATTATTACTACTCTTCACGATAATGTGTTCGTTTAACAGTAGTCTGTGTTAAACTTGAAGTACATTCGTGTAAAATCGAAATTGCGAAAAGATTCATAAGTTTAATAAAATGAAAAAATAAAAACTGTGAATACACAATTCTGTTTTAGTTCAAGTGAAACATTGTTCAACCGTGATTTGATGTGTTAAATGTTAAATTATACACTTAGCAAGTGATTTCTAGATAAAGTATTGTAAAAAATAGTTACAACAATAAAACAAGCGTGTCTCCCGTTCAGTTGTAACTACATGACCTTTCTAAAAACATTTACAACAAGTATTTGTATGGGGTCTATTATTGGTAGATGAACGAAATACACGCTAAGATTTAAATAGTTGAAAACGTACTTGACATTTTTGGTATTTACACTAGTCTATCCCTTAAAACTCAAAAATACTGACCAACATGTATGTATATATATATATAAAGTACCAATACAAATACTGTGTTGGATTATATTTGTTAAAGAATAAATTCCTATATGTTTTCTAGTTTCATCATTCGTTGTACGTAAAATATTTATTAAAGTAATGTTTTCTCAGTTATGAAGATATTCTTAAAAAGGCTGCAAATAATCAAATTTGAATTCCAATCTGTGATTTCGCGATGATTTTCTAGTCATGGATATCCTTATGATCAACCCTTAACCTCAGTGCAATCAATATTTCATAAAAAAATACAAATGAGTGTTCCACAAGTTTACTAAAACTTTAGATTTGTGTAGGTTATGAAATGATCTTACTCATCTTAATGTCAATTGGTTACGAGAATTTTTTTCTTTTTGATTTTCACTAATCAAAAGCTTCCAACCAAAATATTTAAAAACCTAATTGTTTTATTGAATGCAATTATTTCAGTTGGTTTTCAGTATTTTTCTAGACAGAACCTATTTTCCGAAATATAGTCAATTAAAAATAATCTACTTGTCAGTAGTCCTTAAACCATACTCTGCTGATTAACAAAAAACAATGAATATCTTAGTTTACCATTGGTGCAAATTATAATTATTCAGTTGAAACTTCACTAATAGTGTTTAGAAATTTAGCGAAATTCATGACATTGCCTTAGTTCTTTTGAATACTGACAATACGACCATAATTAATGATGTGTCTATCTGTCGAAAGTAAGGTTTTTGGTATTTATCGTAACTTGAAAACGAAACGTTTACCTAGTCCCATACTTAAATATATTCATCTGGAATCTTTTTCTTTAATTACTTATACAGATAACCTTGATTAGTTAAAATATCGGAAGATAATATGCCTACAACAGTCAGATATTTCAAGTACTTAGGACTGTGTTTAATGTATGTCGTTAATCAATATTTATTCTCAGCTCAAAAAATGTTTTTCTAGAATACTATTATTCTTATAAACCAGAATCCACTTTACGTCTTAAAAAAGCACTTCATTCAATTTATCGTTGAAATCTATTTATTTCACTATACAGCATAGTCATTTGTAAGTGATGTGACACACTTGAGCAATTACTTTATGTAAACATTTACAAAGGAGAAAGAACACTTTGAATTCTTTTCTTTAAAAGTATTTACTATGCACCGTTGAATAGATAATAATGATAAACTATGTGATAATTAGCTGAGTATATGGTAAAATGAAACTTATACATGTTCTATCAACGAATCAAATATACATATGAAAATCATGCAATATAGTTCAGTCACTATCTGTCTTTTCATTTCATATTAGAAATATAAACATGCAACGTTGTTAGGTAAATAATTCAAATAATTTTAGGATTTTTTTAACTTTACAACAATCTGTATAATTCAGAAAATCATGAAACAGATGGTTTCCCAGTTTACATTATTTTTGTTGAGAAACATTTTCACCAGAGACTACTTTATAATATATAGTAGTAAATCTATGATTTTTTAAATAAAAATTTGTGAGATATTGACAATAATATGAACTAATTAATTAGTAATACAGTGAAAAATAGTCAAAAGAAACATAAAAGAATCAAACTAAATTTGAACTAGAACCACAAATCTAATGTAAACTAATCAACATTTTTTGAGAAAATCATCTTCATATTAGTCATGATGTTATCAGCTTATCCAACTACATTAAGTACTATAGAAGTACTACAATAAGTCCTGGGTTCGAATCTCGCGAGGTGGGGTAGTGGATGCTCACTGCTGAGAAGTCCCACAACAGGACGTAACGGCCGGCCAGTGCTTCCAAGTTTTTCACGATGGTCTAGCTTCAATTGACTAATGATCTCAACTATTGAAATTACTACAATCTCCACAAAACCGTTTCTGATACGAATATGAAATAGATGCTCCAGTAATTACTCTAAATGTTAATCACGTAAGTGCACCATATATGTATATGCACCACAAGTAATTAATGACATTTTGTCATATCTTAGTAAAATATATTTCTGAGTAATTTTTGCTACTTTTTCATCCTAAATAAACGTAAAAGCTGAATAAATTTCTATTTGTAGAAGGGATAAATTGCAGTGAAACTCATTCAACTTTCTAAATTTCAAAGTTTATATACGTCATTAAGAAAATTGTATTGTCTGTTAATTATGTGTAATTCGCAAATAAATGTTGAAGTACTCATGTTACATTAGTTCTATAGACAAGACAATTTTTCAGTTAATAGTACATTTGGCTAAATGTAATAATTTCAAGTCAAGTTATAGATAATATCAGAATAGGTTTTTGTGGATACTGTATTAATTTTTAATAATTGAATTCATGAATCGGCCATTATAAAAAAACTAGAAGCACTGAACGGTCGTTTTGTCTTAGTATTGGGCTTCTCAGCAGTAAGCATCCACCACCTCGTAATCTGAACTCGAACCCAGAACCTTTGATCTCGCGGACGAACGCCTAACCTCCAGACCGTTGATGCGGACTGCTGAGAATTCCCACATTAGAACGAAACAGCCGTCCAGTGCTTCCAATTCTTCCATGATGGCCTAGCCTTATTCAACCATTAAAAATCATAGATAATAGTCAGAAACTAAAGAAATTTCTAAAATTATATGAAAAAATGCTTATGGAAGAATATGTATACTCATCGTTTTTATAATACACCATTTTGAGACAAAACAAATTATTTAAAATGTTTAAAAATTAACCAAAATTGCTATTTATATTACGTTGAGATAACTAACTACAGATCAAACATTTCATTGTGTGAT